ACCATGGAGATGGAGGTTGCAGTGAGCCAAGATCGCACCACTGCACTCCAGCCTGGGCAACAGAGCAAGACTCTATCTCAAATAAAAAAGAAAAAACAGATTGACTGTGTACAGTGGCTCACACCTGTAATCCTAGCACTTTGGGAGGTCAAGGCAGGTGGATCACCGGAGGTCAGGAGTTCAAGACCAGCCTGGCCAACACGGTGAAACCCTGTCTGTACTAAAAATACAAAAATTAGCTGGGTGTGGTGGCGTGTGCCTGTCTGTAATCCCAGCTACTCGGGAGGCTGAATGCAGAATCATTTGAACCAGGTGAGGTCACCGTGAGCTGAGATCGTGCCACTGCACTCCAGAGTGGCAACAGAGCAAGACTCTGTCTCACCAAAAAAAAAAAAAAAAAAAAAGTAACTAACAAAGGCATCCATTGTCTGGGTAGACACTATAGTCGTTCAAGGTCAAGACTATGGGATAGCAGGAAAAAGGACAGACTTTGGAGTTAGTGCTTTAGGCAAATCACTGACCTCTCTGAGGCTCAACTCTGTCATCTGTAAAATGGACATGATAGTAATAGGGAGGTTAGGATAAAATAATATATGTAAAACACTTAGCATATACTACGTCCTCAATACATTTACTAATGCCTGAGTTATAGAGGCTACTCTTTCCATTCTGGTTTAGAGCCAACTCTTCTGATTGTAAGCCCTCTGCTTCCACAGCCCACTCCCACCTCACTGTGGTTGGTCTCCATTTAAAAAACTCCAGGACTAAAAAGAAGGCAGAGTGTGTGCAGCAGAAGCCCTCCAAACCCCTGGCCCAGCCTGGGGCAACTGCTGCCTCTATCTCACTCCATAGAGAATGAGGTAATGGTCCCCCTCGGGAAAGAGGCAGTTAGTGCTGACAATGAGGCTAATTAACAGGATGCCAATTAGTACCAGGAGACTGCTATAGAAGGGGGAATTCTGGCACAGAAGTAGCTTCTTTTGAGAACGGAGGGCTGAACTAACTCAACCGAGAGGATGCGGCAGGGCAACATCATCCCCTTTTCATGCTTCAGCCACCAAGCACATGCCTCTTCCAGGAAGGCTTCCTAATCTCCTTATTTCACTCCCCTTGGTTTCCTCCTGCGTCGGTGGTCAGTTCTGAGACTGGGGCGTGACGCTGTGGGAATGAAGGGCAAGAGCTAGGATTTGCGCTACATTTTTTTATAATTGAAAATATTTTGAAGGCCAGGCGTGGTGGCTCACGCCTGTAATCTCAGCACTTTGGGAGGCCGAGGCAGGCAGATCACCTGAGCTCAGGAGTTCAAGACCAGCCTGGCCAACATGGTGAAACTCTCTTTTAAAAAAATAAAAATAAATAAATAAAAAATATTTTGAGCTAGGCACAGTGCTCATGCCTCTAATCCCAGTACTTTGGGAGGCTGAGGCGGGAGAATCACTTGAGCTCAGGAGTTTGAGATCAGCCTGGACAACATGATGAAACCTTGTCTCTATAAAATATATAAAAAAAAATTAGCCAGGCATGGCAACGCCTGCCTGTAGTCCTAGCTACTCAGGAGGCTGAGGTGGAAGGATCGATTGAGCCAGGGAGGTCCGGGCTGCAGTGAGCCATAATTACACCACTGTACTGCACTCCAGCCTCAGCAACAGAGAGCCTGTCTCAAAAATAAATAAATAGATAAGCTGGGCACCATGGCACACCCCTGTAGTCCTAGCTACTCTGGAGGCTGAGGTGGATTGCTTGAACCCAGGAAGTCAAAGCTGCAGTGAGCAGTGATTGTACCACTGCACTCTAGCCTGGGCCACAAAGCAAAACCCTGCGTCTAAAAATTAAAAAGGAACAAAAATAAAATATTTCAGACATTCAAAAAGTCATGAATATATATGTTTACATTTTTTTAATTAAGAATTTTTTTTTTTTTTGGCTGACTCTAGGCACGCTGCCCATGAGTTAGCCATGCTCTGCAAGAAAGCAGTACAAAAGAAGAAAAAGAAGAATTTTTTTTCTTTTTTTGCAACAAAGTTTTGCTCTTGTTGCCCAGGCTGGAGTGCAATGGCACGATCTCAGCTCACTCCAACCTCCACCTCCCAGGTTCAAGTGATTCTCCTACCTCAGTCTCCCAAATAGCTGGGATTACAGGCATACGCCACCATGCCTGGCTAATTTTATATTTTTGTAGAGATGAGATTTCTCTAGCTTGATCAGGCTGGTCTCGAACTCCTGACCTCAGGTGATCTGCCCACCTCTGCCTCCCAAAGTGCTGGGATTACAGGTGTGAGCCCCTGTGCCCAGACTAATTAAGAAATTTTTAGACATGGGGGTCTTGCTATGTTATCCAGGCTGGGCTTGAACTCCTAGTTCTCTGCCTTAGCCTTCTGAGTAGCTGGGATTACAGGCTCTAGCCACCATGTCCAGCTTTTATATACACTCAGTATAAGAAAAGGGCCAGGTGCTGTGGCTCATGCCTGTAATCCCAACACTTTGGGAGGCTGAGGCGGGTGGATCACCTGAGGTCAGGAGTTTGAGACCAGCCTGACCAATATGGTAAAACCCCATCTCTACTAAAAATACAAAAATTAGCTAGGTGTGGTGGCGTGTGCTTGTAGTTCCGGCTACTCAGGAGGCTGAGACAGGAGAATTGCTTGAACCCAAGAGATGGAGTTTGCAGTGAGCTGAGATTGAGCCGCTGCACTCCAGCCTGGGCAAAAGAGCAAGATTCTCAAAAAATAAATAAATAAAATAAAATAAAAGGGGCCAGGTGCTGTGACTCATGCCTGCAATCTCAGCACTTTAGGGGGCTGAGGGGGGAAGATCACTTGAGGCCAGGAGTTCAAGACCAACCTGGGCAACATAGCAAGACCCACCTCTTCAAAAAATAAAACCATTAGCCAAGTGTGGTGGCACATGCTTGTAGTCCTATCTATTCAGAAGGCTGAGGCAGGAGGATCTCTTGAATCCAGGAGTTCAACGCTGCAGTAAGCTATGATTGTGTCATTGCACTCCAGACTGGGAGACAGAACAAGACTGTCTGCTCTCCCCCACACCTCAAAAAAAGTTACCATTGTTACCAGTGACATTCTCTCTGTATACCTCTCCTGGAAGGTAACCATTCTGAATTTGGTATGTGCAATAAAATTCCATAGACGGGGCATGTATTCCACCTCCTCCCTCTGGAGCAGGGTCGGCCAGTAGAACTCTGTGCAGTGGAAATGGTCTATACTTGCACTGTCCAGTATGTTAGTTACTAGTAACAAGTGGCTACTGAGAACTTGAAATGCAGCTAGTGCAAGGGACTGATTTTTTTTTTTTTTTTTTTTTTTTTTTTGAGAGAAAGTTTTGCTTTGTTACCCAGGCTGGAGTGCAGTGGCACCATCTCGGCTCACTACAACCTTCACCTCCTGGGTTCAAGCAATTCTTGTGCCTCAATCTCCCAAGTAGCTGGGATTACAGGCACCTGCTACCATGACCGGATAATTTTTGTATTTTTAGTAGAAATGGGGTTCACCACGTTGGCCAGGCTGGTCTCTAATTCCTGACCTCAGGTGATCTAACCACCTTGGCCTCCCAAAGTGTTGGGATTATAGGCATGAGCCACTGTGCTTGAACTAAATTTTCAATTCTAATTCACTTAAATTGAAATAGGCTGGGTGCTATTTCAATTTAATTGAATTAAATTGAAATTAATTTAATTTAACTTATCCACCTCAGGGTGGATCACCTGAGGTTAAGAGTTAGAGACCAGCCTGGCCAACTAGGCAAAACCCCATCTCTACTAAATATACAAAAATTAGCTGGGTGTGGTGGCACGTGCCTGTAGTCCCAGCTACTCGGGAGGCTGAGGCAGGACAATCACTTGAACCCAGGAGGCAGAGGTTACACTGAGCCGAGATTGCGCCACTGCACTCCAGCCAGGGTGACAGAGCGAGACTCTTTCTCAAAAAAAAAAAAAAAAAAAAAAAAAACAAATAGTAATAATAAAAAATAGTTAAAGGTGGCCAGTGGCTACTGTATGGGACAATGAGGCTCCAGAACAGAAATGCCGTAAGGGTGAGGACTTTGTTGTACTCACATCTGTGAGTCTAGAACAGAGCTGGCAAATAGCAGGAACTCAAAAGATATTTAAGTCAATGATTGAGTCTTGACAGCAAGTTAGGTAAGTATTATTCCCATTTCCCAGCTGGGACCGCTGAGGCCCAGAGAAGTGATATGACTTGACAAGGTCACCTAGCTTCACATTGAGGAGTCTAGGATTTGGGTCCAGTTCTTCCTGACCTCAATCCTACATCCTCAACGACTCCCAAAGGGGAGCTTCATTAAGCCTCTACCAGGGCTGTTGCTGGAACAAGAGGCAGCCTCTCCAGGTCCTTCTCGGTGCATCTCCTTCACCTGCAGTTGTGACAGCAGCTCCATAGGTCTCCAGGTGCCCTGGTTGGGCCCTGCCCATCCTTCTACCCAGGCAGCACTGTGTCAACAGCTTCTCCTCTAAGGAGCCAGGTGACTGAGCTCCTGAAGCCACAGATGAGTAGAACAGAGGTGGAGACAGAAGAGGAAGAAAGGAGTAGGGTGGGGGCCAGGTGTGGTGGCTCACGCCTGTAATCCCAGCAGTTTGGGAGGCCTAGGCAGGCAGATCACCTGAGGTCAGGAATTCAAGACCAGCCTGACCAACTGTAGAAACCGCATCTCTATTAAAAATACAAAAAATTAGCCGGGTGTAGTGGCAGGTGCCTGTAATCCCAGCTACTCGGGAGGCTGAGGCAGGAGAATTGCTTGAACCTGGGAGGTAGAGGTTGCAGTGAGCTGAAATTGCACCATTGCATTCCAGCCTGGGCGACAGAGCAAGACTCTGTCGAGAGAGAGAGAGAGAGAGAAAGGAAGGAAGGAAGGAAGGAGAGGAAGGAGTAGGATGGAGATAAGGTGGAGGGGTGAAGGGGACTGGTGCCCCATGTAGGCAGGAATGGGAGGCTGGAACAAGAACTTCGTTCCTCCAAGAAGGACGCATGAACCTTTTCTACACCTTTATTTTTGAAATGCTTATTGAACAGATACAAAGTGTCTGTGAGCAGGCTAGTGGAGGGAGTTAATGTGCCTCCTTCCTTCCCTGGGTGGGGGCTGCAGCCAGAAGTGGCTTTCTCCTTCCCTCCACCTTGGCAGCACTGGGCTGGGAGAGGCCCTGGGACAGGGAGGGGGTTCAAGGGCAGGAGGAGAAGGGAAGAATGGATACTAAGGCCTGGGCAGAGCCCTCTTCTCCTGGAATAAGAGGCTTGAACCTGTTCACCCTGGCAGGAGTTGTGCTTCTCCTCTGCAGCATGTAGAAGTGGTTTGCACTGGGCAGTAGGGAGGGTGAGCTTCTCTGCAACTCTCTCCTGCCTCCCTAGCCCAAGGTTGGGAGTGCCCTCTTCAGCTGTTTCTCAAGTAAGGGTCCTCGGTGACATCTCTAGTCCCCTACAGGAATGCCTGCCTCCCCAGATCTCAAAGGGCACTGCCCTCAGTCCTTGGGGTTAAAGGGCAGGGAGCCTGACCTAGTGGGGCACAGAAGCTGGTGACCTCTTCCCAACAGGGACCTCAACTATGTCCACACTTCCAGGGGGATCATGCCCTCCTTGCTACCCAGTGGGGGCAGCAAAGATTCATCCTCTAGGAACTTGAGTGGGAAGTGGACCAGGTGACCCTGGACCTGAGTGAGCTCAGACAGAGCCAAGGGTGGACTGACCGTGGCCAGGGGCTCCACAGCCACGTACTCCCGGAGTGTCCGCAGGGAACGCGTGGCATTGGATGGCAGGCAGCGGAAGATCTGTGGGCAGAGGCATGGATCCCAGTAAGGCTTGGGGAGACTCTCCCAACAATCTGAGTCCAACTAGGCTAGACCTCTTCACCCATACCATCTTTCCTCACTCTCATTGACCCTGGGCTACTAACTCTTTTTTTTTTTTTTTGAGGCAGAGTTTCACTCTTGTTGCCCAGGCTGGTGTGCAATGACGTCAACTGCGCTCACTGCAATCTCTGCCTCCCAGGTTCAAATGAATCACTTGATTCTCCTGCCTTAGCCTTCCAGGCACCTGCCACCATGTCTGGCTTTTTTGTGTTTTTAGTAGAGATGGGGTTTCAGCATGTTAGCCAGGATGGTCTCGATCTCCTGATGTTGTGATCTGCCCACCTCGGCCTCCCAAAGTGCTGGGATTACAGGCATGCGCCACTGCACCCAGCCTATACTTTGTTTTTTTTTTTTTTTGGGGGGAATTTCGCTCTTGTTGCCCAGGCTGTAGTGTAATGGCAAGATCTCGGATAACTAAAATCTTTGCCTCCCGCGTTCAAGCAATTGAACTGCTTCAGCCTCCCAGCCACACCCAGCTAATTTTTTTGTATTTTTAGTAGAGACAGGGTTTCACCATATTGGCCAGGCTGGTCTCAATCTCCTGACCTCAGGTGATCCACCTGCCTTGGCCTCCCAAAGTGCTGGGATTACAGGCGTGAGCCACCATGTCCAGCCAGGACCACTAAATCTTTTGATAGCAAATGCCCCAGGCCCTCATCCCCCTTCTAAGAATGATTGTGTGATGGGGCTTCTCTCCATCCTACCCTGAGCAGGATAATCTGTAAATTTCCCCAGGCCACTCTCCCCCTACCCTCCCAAGTTCCCACCTGCTCATAGATATTGGCATTGCTCTCAGCTGTCTCTTGCCACAACTGGAAGAAGTCATCACAGATGGGGTCTCGGAGATCCAAGTCTGGCCGGGCATTTGCTCCAAGAATCACACTACAGGAGAAAGGGGTCCCAGCAGGGCCAGATTAAGACCTTTAGAGAACCCGAGTATCAGAAAAGTTACATTGTCCCTACTCAGGTTCTTTCTTTCTTTATTATTTTTTTGAGATGGAGTCTTGCTCTGTTGCCCAGGCTGGAGTACAGTGGCACAGTCTCAGCTCACCGCAACCTTCACCTCCCAGGTTCAAGCGATTCTCCTGCCTCAGCCTCCTGAGTAGCTGAGACTACAGGGGCGTGCACCGCCATGCCCGGGTAATTTTTGTGTGTGTGTGGTTTTTTTGAGATGGAGTTTTGCTCTTGTTGCCCCGGCTGAAGTGCAATGGCGCAATCTTGGCTCACTGAAACCTCTGCCTCCTAGGTTCAAGTGATTCTCCTGCCTCGGCCTCCTGAGTAACTGGGATTACAGCCATATGCCACCTTGCCTGGCTAATTTTGTAATTTTAGTAGAGATGAGGTTTCTCCATGTTGGTCAGCTGGTCTCGAACTCCTGACTTCAGGTGATCCATCCGCCTCAGTTTCCCAAAGTGCTGTGATTACAGGTGTGAGCCATCTTGCCTGGCCCTTACTCAGGTAATTCAAAATTGGCTGGGCATGTGGCTCACACCTGTATTCCCAGCACTTTGGGAGGATAAGGGCGGTGGATTGCCTGAGCTCAGGAATTCAAGACCAGCCTGGGCAATATGGCAAAACCCCATCACTACAAAAAATACAAAAATTAGCCAGGTGTGGTGGCGTGTGCCTGTAGTCCCAGCTACTTGGGAGACTGAGGTAGGAGGATCACTTGAGCCCAGGAAGTCAAGGCTGCAGTGAGCTGTGGTCACCCCACTGCACAGAGCAAGACCCCATCTGAAAACGAAGAAACAAAAACGAAATAAATCCAAAAAGATAAATGCAATATAAAATAGTAAAATAAGTATAAAAGAAGCCAACGGAGTTCTGAGTTGTCTCTACTTTGATGACTACCTTGATGCTTTAAAAAATTATTTTTACTTAAATTTTCTTTTATTTTCCAGTTTTTTTCCCAATCCTCAGAACCTGTAAGAAAAATTACTTTTTTTTTTTTTTTTTTTTTTTGAGACAGAGTTTCGCTCTTGTTACCCAGGCTGGAGTGCAATGGCACGATCTCGGCTCACCGCAACCTCCGCCTCCCGGGTTCAGGCAATTCTCCTGCCTCAGCCTCCTGAGTAGCTGGGATTACAGGCACGCACTAACATGCCCAGCTAATTTTTTGTATTTTTAGTAGAGATGGGGTTTCACCACGTTGACCAGGATGGTCTCGATCTCTTGACCTCGTGATCCACCCGCCTCGGCCTCCCAAAGTGCTGGGATTACAGGCTTGAGCCACCACGCCCGGCATGAAAAATTACTTTTAAACTATTTTTTTTTTCTCACTTTTTTGGTGTTCACGCTTTGCAGATACTCTAAACTGATTAGTCTTGCCTATTGGGAATTCAGCACTGGTTCTACCTCTGGCTCCGGGAATACCTAAGCAGTGCTGCCTCTTGTCCTGCTCAAAAGGCAGATGCCCCCATCTCCCTCCCACCTTGTGGCACCCCGCCCCAGCTCTACCTGAAGCAGTGCTTCCGCAAACTCAAGGCAAACCTGCCCGCCTGATACTCTGCCCCATTCATGAGGGATGGTTCTGTCTCTGTGTCCTCGATCAGCACGGCCAGCTCACTGTCCCGCTTCCCCAGCAAGCTCCGGTCATTGATGTTTGCAGAACCTGGGGTGGATGTGGGGCACACTGTCTGCTTGGGTCCGGGGCACTCCGCCAAGTACCCTATCCCGTCAACCAAAGCACTGGCCTGCACACACCTTCTTTTTATTTTTATTTTTGAGGTAGTTTGCCTGTCACCAGGCTGGAGTGCAGTGGCGTGATCTCGGCTCACTGTAATCTCTGCCTCCCGGGTCCAAGCGATTCTCCCACCTCAGCCTCCAAAGTAGCTGGGATTACAGGTGTGTGCCACCACGCCCAGCTAATTTTTTTATTTTTAGTAGAGATGGGGTTTCACCATGTTGGTCAGGCAGGTCTCAATCTCTTGACCTTGTGATCTGCCTGACTCGGCCTCCCAAAGTGCTGGGATTACAGGTGTGCCCGGCCAGAACACACACACACAAATTCTTCTTGGATCCTCCACCCACCCCTACATGAGCCTTAGCTGCAGTCTCTGTCACCCCATCCTCTCATCTCTTTGCCTGTCCCCACACCCTCTCCCTGCCAGGGGCCCAGATCCAGCACTGACCTATGATGACCGTCTGGTCATCTGCGATGAGCATCTTGCTGTGGATGTAGATGAGCTCTGAGACTGGGTGTCCGCCCAGCTCTCCATGTGTACGAAGCCCACAGATGGAAATATAGTCCCGCCATGCTGTTCCCACTGCATATAAGAGAGGGGGTGAGAGGAGGGGAAGTGAGGGGAGAGCTTGCTCTGTGTACAGACATGGCCCTGTCCCACCTCCTCTCACTCTAGGGAGAGTAGCTAGAGTCTGGTCTAGCTACTTCTCCCTGTGGTGAAAGGCCAGCTATGGTCTGTATAACCTCAGAGGCACACAGGAATGACAGCCTCCCCTCCCACCCCCAGGCCTCCAGTGCCCCAACTCTCTCTCCCAGGGGTCCAGGGCTTGTGCCTCTAGACCCCAGCACTCACTGGCTGCTTTGAGGCGATGCAGGATTGAATATTCCCCACGACACAGGGTCCTGAGATAAAAGAAAAGGGGAGAGAAGTGGAGGCTGGCAGAGGGAGGTCAGGAGAGGGGGGCCTCCTTTAAGCTCCAGCAGAAAGGGATCAGGACAGAATCAAGAGGGGGACACAGGTGGGATGGGGCCATTGAGAGGTGGGGTCTGCCTGGGGGGTCACCTGTAAGTAAAGTGCAGAATGGCCTGGATAGAGTTGCCACCACCTGTGGAGATGTCACCCTGGAAGCCAGGGAGTAAGGGCAAAAGCACGTAGACTCGGAAACACTGCCCCTGTCTGAGAAGGGATGGAGTCAAAGGTGTGACTAGTCCCTAAAACCCCACCCCCTTCAACTGGGCTCAAACCACACCCACAGTCCCCACCTTCCTGACAGTCCACCTTACTTGTGGGCCTTTAGGATTCTGTCCACAATCTCATCGCCCACCTTGTTCAGAACTGTCCGCCCATCTGAGCAGCTAATGAAGAACTGATTCTGGGGCAAGAACCAGAGACAGACATCATCAGCCTGGCCCCTGGCCCTGTCCTCGGCCTCCAGCCCTGGTCTCCACTCCCAGGCTCCAGGCGTCTGCTTCTGTTCTAGGCGCAGCTCCACCAGCCCTCGTGACTGACTCCACTGATTCCCCTGGTCTCTCTCCTGGGCCTCCCCTTCCGTACTCTCCCCACCCTCCTCCCAGTCAGACCTCAATGTAGAGGAAGTGCCGGCTCTCCCTGATGGTGTGCAGGTAGGCATTGAGGATGGAGTTCTCCAGAGTCCCTGCTGACCAGCGGTCCACCGACCGCAAGACCTAGGGAATGGTGAATGCGACTGCTTCCTAACCCCAGGAGAGGAGAGTGTGGGGGGCTCTCACACCAGGGAGAGTGGGTTGGGGTGTTGGGCTGAAGGAGGTGGAGGGGGTGCTGGCTGAAGTGGGGGGCCTCACCTGCACAGTGGTGCACTGCCCCCCTGGGAGTGTGAAGGGGAGCTGGTTGGCAGTGCAGGTAGACTTGGGAAGCAGGTAGGGGTATGTGGGAATCTTGTACTTGGCCTTGGTGGTCTGAAGTGGAGAGATGGCAGAGTCAGCAGGAGGTGACAAGCTGCCCCTGGTTCCCTCCCTCCCTCCCTCTAGCCCCTACCGGAGGGAACGAGCACCTTGGTGAAATTCCAGCGCTGGATGAAGTGCCGGGCGAGGTCCCGTGCAGGTAGGCCATGGACGACCACCCCAACATCCCGCCATGGCATCCGAGGTGTCGTCTCCCTGTTGATGAAATCTGGGGGGTCCAGGGAGACGTCAGGGCTGGATTCTTGGGGACACTTGGGGCAGGGAGGAGGAGGCTGCCAGAGGGATGGCTGTACCACTTTTGACCCCTTCATCCCATTCTCAGTACCAGCCCCAGCTTCTGACCCTGCTCTCAGCTCTCTGGGACTTTGGTGGGTGGGGGCTTCACCTTCAAAAGGCCGGTCCAGCTGCACCCAGTCCTTGGTGATAAGATTGCTGTAGTCCTTGCCCAGCCAGAAGAATTGGTTATGAGAGAGGTCTGGGGTGGCTGATGAGTCTGGGCACGGGGTGGGAGGCTGTAGGAGGAACACACCCAAGCGACGGGCAAGGGGAAGTCATGGGGGCTGTACAGAGCCAGGGCCAAAGAGAGGAACACCGCAAGAGTGAGAGAGACCCAGAGGAAGAATGAAACAGAGGGTCTCATTCCCCAGCCCTCCTCCCCAGCCACCTTTGACACTCTTAGAGGAATGGGGTCGGGGTTAGTGAAAATGGGGAAAGGACTGGGTTACAGCACTTTCTTTTGTTTGTTTGAGACAGAGTCTTGCTCTGTCACCAGGCTGTAGTGCAGTGGTGCAATCTCAGCTCACTGCAACCTCCATCTCCTGGGTACAAGCGATTCTCCTGCCTCAGCCACCTGAGTAGCTGGGACTACAGGTGCATACCACCACACCTGGCTAATTTTTGTATTTTTAGTAGAGACGGGGTTTCACCACGTTGACCAGGATGGTCTTGATCTCTTGACCTTGTGATCCACCCTCCTTGGCCTCCCAAAGTGCCTGGGTTATAGGCATGCACTACCACGCCCAGCCTTTTTTTTTTTTGGAGATGGAGTCTTGCTCTTTCACACAAGCCGGAGTGCAATGGCACGATCTCAGCTCACTGCAACCTCCACCTCCCAGGTTCAAGGTATTCTCCTGCCTCAGCCTCCCGAGTAGCTCATGACAGGCATCCACCACCATGCTTGGCTAATTTTTTGTAATTTTAGTAGAGAAGGGGTTTCACCATGTTGGTCAGGCTGGTCTTGAACTCCAGGCCTCATGTAATCCGCCTTGGCCTCCCAAAGTGCTGGGATTACAGATGTGAGCCATGGCACTGGGCTGGTTACAATACTTTCAAAGTGGGTTCTTGAGGGGGTCCCACAAAGTCTAAGAAACCCTGAGGTGGACAGGGCCTAGAATGACTGAGGGGGTAAGGTTGGAGCTGGGAAAGGATGTGGATTGAGCTTATCTGAGTTTGGGGGTGCTCGGGAAGGCCTGTTGGGGGGAATTACCTGGGAGGCAGCTGACTCAGAGGAGTCTCCAAGGTCAGTCAGTCGGTAGTGCAGGTCATCCCAGCGGCCATAGGCAAGGTCCAGCCCCCCCAGGAATGCTACCACTTGGTCCACCACCAGGAGCTTCTCATGATGGGCCCACAACGTCACTTGGTTTGGGTGACGCATCACCTGGAGCAGGTATAGAGAGTTCATGAGGGTGGGTTTAGGTGGAGGAAAACAGGAAGTACTGGGAGGGAGAGAGAAAAGATGCAAAGATGAGACAGACTTGCAGGGAACAGAGCACTGGGGGCTGGGACAGTATAGGGAGGAGGGCTGCCATGTGGGAGGGTCTCTGAGGCTGAGTCACCTTTATGTTGTGATGCAGCAGCATCAGTGCCCTCTTGCTATAGCCACTGTTGATGCCCAAGGCCAATTCCACTTCCTTAAACAGCAGAACCGACACACGGACACCCTCCTCCTGGTGGTGAGTTGGGGAATCAGATCCTAGTGCCTCTCCCGGAGCAGCCCCTTTCCACACTGCCAGACCTTTTCTATGTGTGTCCCTCCAGCTTCTCTGGAGATCCTGGAGGCTCTGCCACATATACCCTGCTTTGCTGCTTACAGCAGACTTAGACTAAATGTCATCTGTGTGCTCACCCCCTCAACCATCCACACATCTATCCACCTACCCTTCATTATCCATCCATCCATCCATCCATCCATCTTTCCAAGCATTTACTCATCCTCTTATCTACCATCTATCATTCATCCATCTACTCTCCTACCCTCCTATCCCTCCACCTTTCCAACTCATATCCTTCCACCCATCGCCCTTCCTGTCCTCTATCCATCCACCTGCCCACGCACCCTCCATCATCCATGCATCCTTCTTCCTGTCCATCAACACCACACATGCCCCTTCCATGGCAGGTACTGTGCCTTGTACTGGAACAAGTGATATTAACTAGTCCAGTGAAAGAGATAGACATGTACACCCCCAGATAACACAAAGTATTATGTGTACTGGGAAAGAAGTCTCTGCCAGGTGGAGGGAGGCATGAAGAGGAAGGTGCCAGTTCTCCTTAGTACAGAGGGCAGAGGTGATGTCTGACAGGCGCTGAACCAGGATGGGCACATTTCCCTCCCCTGAAGGCTCAGAGTCCCTACCTTCTCCCATGCTGCAGCCCTGCTAATCAACCTCCGCCCACAGACAACCCCCTCCCCCTGCAGCCTGACCGCACTCCTCACCGCCTTCCTCTTGAGCATAATGTCCAGTCTCCAGTCATCTGAATGGGCTGGACGCTTCAGGTAAACCTCAGGACTCAACCTGGGATTCAGGGCAGTGGATTAGGGGCAAACAAAGCCCCAGACCACCAGCTGCACCCCCCTTCTGCTACTTCCCCCGACCCATACGCTGATCTGCCCCAGGCTCTCTATCTTGCCCCCTCTTGTTGGGGCCTTTTCCCACTCACCACCAGTCTGTGATGAAAATCTCCTCTTGGGCTTGAAGGATGGCATCTGCCACGGCAGCAAAGTAACCTGCCCCATTCACAAACCTGGGGGGAGGCCAAGCCAAGGAGGTCAGAGGAGTCAGAAGCCAGAAAGCTCTGGAGAGTGAAGACCGGAGGACAGTCGTGGGTCAGAGATGACAGCAGGGTCAAAGATCAGGAACGATCAGAGAGCACAGGTGGTATCAGACACATCAAAATAGTGTTTGCCCATGTGCACTAAATACAAATAAAAATTATGGGCCAGGTGTGGTGCTTCACGCCTGTAATCCCAGCACTTTGGGAAGCTGAGGCAGGCAGACCACTAGGTCAGGAGTTCAAGACCAGCCTGGCCAACATGGTGAAACCGTCTCTACTAAAAACTACAAAAATTAGCTGGACAAGTTGGCACGCACCTGTAATCCCAGCTACTCAGGGGTCTGAGACTGGAGAATTGCTTGAACCCAGGAGGTGGAGGTTGCGGTGAGCGAAGATCATGCTGCTGCACTCCAGCCTGAGTGACAAACTGAGACTCCATTAAAAAAAAAAAAAAAGAAAAAAAAGAAAAAGATACAATAACCTAATCAATTAAAGAATAGGAGGATTAATACGTCATACATAAAGAACACCAGTGAATCGACAAGAAAAAGTCACATAAGCCAACTGAAAAATGAGCAGAGTAAGAACTGACAGTTCACAGCTAAATTAAAATGGTCAATCATGGCAAATGATGTTCAGTTTCACTAGTAAACAAAGAAATTAAAATAAAATTACATTAAAAAAATCCACTAGATTGGTAATAATTAAAATAATTGGTAACATTCAATATCAGCATATTTTATTCAATATGCTAGGGAAATTGGTATTCTCATAGACTGGGAATATAACTTTTAGGAAACAATTTGGCAGTATCAAAAATATATATTCTATATAGCTTTATATATATGTACATATATATATAACTGTATACATGTAAAATATATATAGCTTTCTGAGACAATGTCTTACTCTGTCACCCAGGCTGGAGTGCAATGACGCAATCTTGGCTCACTGCAGCCTCTGCCTCTTGGGTTCAAGCAATTCTCCCATCTCAGCCTCCCAAGTAACTGAGATTACAGGCTAATTTTTGTGTTTTTAGTAGAGATGGGTTTTTGCCATGTTGGCCAGGCTGGTCTTGAACTCCTGACTCCAGTGATCTACCCGCCTCGGACTCCCAAAGCGCTGGGATTACAGGCGTGATGCACTGCCAGTAGCCGGCAGTATCAAAATATTAAATGCACATACTCTTTAATATAATTAAATATACATAGTAATTACATTTCTAGGAATATATTCTAAAAGTAGCAGGAAGTAACTAGCTCTTGTTAAAAAAAAAAAAAAAAAAAAAGGAATATATCCTATACAATGCTTAGGCAAAGACTGTGTTAATCACATTGTTTATAAGAGTGAAAAAAAAGAAATAACCTAAGTGTTTAATCTCTCACACATGTATTAAGTGAAAAAATGAATCACAGAAGAGGGTGCATGATGTCATTTATGTTGAAACAAAAGTAACATGTGCATGCACATGTGAAAATATGCAGGAAGGCCGGGCGTGGTGACTCACGCCTGTAATCCCAGCACTTTGGGAAGTCAAGGTGGGTGGATCACTTGAGGCCAGGAGTTCATGACCAGCCTGGCCAACATGGTGAAACCCCATCTCTACTAAAAATACAAAAATTAGCTGAGCGTGGTGGTGCATGCTTATAATCCCCACTACTCAGGAGGCTGAGGCAGGAGAATTGCTTGAACCCGGGAGGCGGAGACTGCAGTGAGTGGAGATGGGGCCACTGCACTCCAGCCTGGGCAACAGAGTGAGACACCATCTCAAAAAAAAAAAAAAAAAAAAAAATTCCAGCCGGGTGCCATGGCTCATGCCTGTAATCCCAGCACTTTGGGAGGCCCAGGTTGGTGGATCACCTGAGGTTGGGAGTTTGAAACCAGTCTGACCAACATGGAGAAACCCAGCTCTACTGAAAATACAAAATTAGCCAGGCGTGGTGGGGCAAGCCTGTAATCCCAGCTACTCAGGAGGGTGAGGCAGGAGAATCGCTTGAACCTGAGAGTCAGAGGTTGTGGCGAGCTGAGATTGCTCCATTGCACTCCAGCCTGCTTGACAAAAGCCAAACTCCGTCTCAACAAAACAAAACAAAACAAAACACAGAAACAAAACCAAAAACAAACTCCTTCCATGGCTGCCCTCTGCCTGTGATATTAGCAGACCAGACCCTGGGAGATCAGGCACTGCTGACTCCCAGGCTCTTCTCTGACTGCCCCTCCTCACTCAGTAACAGTAAGTCCTGGTGGTTCCCAGACACCCGGAGCTACTTCTGTCTTCTCTGCCTGGACTGTTCTGCACTTTCTTTATCTAGTACAGTTCCGTGAGGATCAGCAAGTGTATGTTCCCATGCAATCAACAGTCCTATCAAAATATAGGACATTTTTATCTTCCTGGAATGTTCCCTTGTGTGCCCTTTAACAAGCAATCTTTTTCCCACACCCTGCGACAGGCAACTACTGATCTGATTTCCACCACTATGGATTGGTTTTGCCACACACTGTGGCTCATCCCTGTAATCCCAGCACTTTGGGGAGGCCAAGGCAGGAGAATCCCTTGAGCCCAGTAGTGGTGGCGTGTGCCTGTAGTCTCAGCTACTCAGGAGGCTGAGGCATGAGGATCATTTGAGTCTGGGAGGTTGAGGCTGCAGTGAGCCATGATCACTCCAGCCTGGGTGACAGAGAAAGACACTGTCTCAAACCAAAACCAAAACCAAATCAAAATTAATATTATGTCAGTCTCTGATTTAAATAAAGCAAAACTATTTCAGAGTCATCACCTCCTGGAAACCCGTCCTGATATCCCTGCTGGGTTAGGTCTGTGCTTGTTACCTTCTACCCACTGTCTGTGCTCGTTACCTTCTATCTATCACCAGTATGGCAAGAATACATTGTTTCATTAGTTGAGCACCTACTTCCCTAATCCAGAGGGGCCTGTGTCTTACTGCCAGCCCTAGTAGGTGCTTAGAAAATGTTTATTAAATGAAGGACTAAATCAGAGAGATTTGAGAAGATCATAGAGAAGAGAGGGTCAGTGTGGTAGAGGGGGGTTTAAAAGGTTATAAGAGGTTAGAGAGGTCAAGGGTCAGAAGAGATGATCGAGTTTGGGGATCAGAAAGGTCAGAATGAAATCAGAGAGATCAATGTGGTTAAAGATGTCAAAGGTCGGCCAGGCGCAGTGGCTCATGCCTGTATTCCTAACACTTTGGGAGGCTGAGGCAGGCGGATCACAAGGTCTAGAGATGATTGAGACCATCCTGGCCAACATGGTGAAACCCCGTCTCTACTAAAAATACAAAAATTAGCTGGGCGTGGTGGCATACGCCTGTAGTGCCAGCTACTTGTGAGGCTGAGGCAGGAAGGAGAATTGCTTGAACCCAGGAGGTGGAGGGTGCAGTGAGGTGAGATTGTGCCACAGCACTCCAGCCGGGCGACACAGCGAGACTCCTCAAAAAAAAAAAAAAAAAAAAAGACGTCAAAGGTCAGGAAAATTAAAAAAGTCACCAGGTGGGTCATTGAGGTAGGAAGAGTTCAGAGAAGATAAAAGAGAGGATGAAGGACTCAGAGACTACCCAGGGGGTCAAGAAGGCCACAGACAAGCTCAGAAAGGATGTCAGCGTCTCACCACCGGGCTAAGGTCCCAGGCCGGGGTGGGGCGTAGCTGTTGTGCCGGTGCAGATATAGGAAGTCTCTTCCAGGGCCCTGTGCCAGCTCAGTGATCTCCTGGGCCCACCACCGTGCCTGCCGGTAGCTGCTGCACTTGAGAATCAAGGACCTGGAACAATGAGATGGACCCTAAATCCTCGCCCTCCATACCTATGGTCTTGCCCAGAGACCTCTCCTTTCTTTCCCACTTCCTCCCTTAGTCCCTAATCACAGCTCCACAGGGACAGGGCCTGTATGGATCTGCCTTATTTATTTATTTATTTTGTTTTTGAGACAGAGTTTCACTCTTTCGCCCAGACTGGAGTGAAGTGGCACAATCTCGGCTCACTACAAACTACCACCCTGGCTTCAAGTGATTCTCCTGCCTTAGCCTCCCAAATAGCTGGGATTACAGGTATGCACCACCATGCCTGGCTAATTTTTGTTAAGTAGAGATGGGGTTTTACCATGTTGACCAGGCTGATCTTGAACTCCTGACCTCAGGTGATCCACCCGCCTCCGCCTCCCAAAGTACTGGGGTTACAGG